AAAACTCTGGCTGCGGTAAAAAGTATTCCTCAAATGAGGGATGCAAAACTCCGCCATAAGATGTGCCGTGGGAACCTGTGCATACAGTTGCATCATGTTCCAATCGCTCAGTCGAAAAACAAGGCGAGGCCAAGCGGCCATAATCCTCCATCTCTCTGAATCATCGTAGTACCCATGGGGTTACCCCGATTTTCACTACTGCCAAATTTATCATACTGTCGCTGCCCAGAGCCCATATAGCCAGACGAAGGATGGTGATGTTAATGATACGACAAACTTTTGATACCACAGGAGGTGGTTGTGGTATCACGTCGCTTCGTTGCACTAGCACTCCTAGGCAAGGGTCTAGTGGAAGTGATCCGGCTAGAAACTGCTAGAAACAGCTGAAACATGCAGTGGGGATCCGCAGCCGACGGTGAACAAACGGATCACTAGACTCGTATAGATGGACATAAATACTGAGTCTAGGTCACTAGCTGTCATTTCCAGCAGAAACTGATTTCGTCGCCAAAACCACCGGCATATCTCCCACTCCCACGCAGGGAACATATCAACGCCCTATGGCCGGTCTGTGGCCGTACGATGAGGGCCGTGGCCGAGGTTTGGCCGAGAGCCGAAATCGGTATTGGCCGTACGGCGTTTGTGGCTTGAAGGGCCCAAAAATTGTGTGGCCAAGCTGGCCGAAGGTGGGCCGTGACGACTTTCGATCGATAGGCGACTGTGGATATTCGTGGCCGAACGATCAAACGCTTGGCCGAAGCCTGGCCGACCAACGTACCGGAGGTCTTAGAGAATATTTCGTTCTCTGAGTCTTATGATCACTTGATCAGTCCGACTTTGGGGCGATCTTTCTAGGAGGATGGAAAACCTAAATTGGTGTGCGCTGTGCGTAGTTTTATGGTTATTCATCTCCAACGTTTTTCTGTTGGGTGCAGTTGAAATTACTGAAATCAGTCAGGACACTGACGAACGCACCGATGATCATGCACAGGGTTCTAGTCGACTAGTCGTGCGTGATGAGCAAGGTACCGTATCGGTTCCCAAAACGCGCATCGATAGTTTTCGATATAATGAAGTTTGTTGTCGACAGATACCGATAACACTGCAAAACCTGTCGACATATATGAATAACACCATTATTGTTGTCGACAGATACCGATAACTCCACGAAAGTTGTCGACAGATACCGACAAGAAACGAAAACTTGTCGACAAATATTGATATTCCGATTTTTCCCGATATATCGATATATCGGGGATATCGACAGCAAGTGATAAATTTGTCCAAATATGACCCTTACGCCGTTGATGTCGTACGGGTTAATCTGTGTTCGCTTGACTGGGCCTGATCCTTGTGCGACCAGCACCGTGCTTGTAGAGCCCCTGCAGGATTTCCGAGCACGACCCATCCTGAATTTTCAAATCACGATCGACAAGCCTACTTTTCAAATTCCGAGAAATGAGAGCTCACACGAATACCGTGTCACAGTTCAATATCATGTCACGAATACTCCTTGATCGATACGGTTGAGCAAATGAAAACCCTAAACACCCCCAATTTGGGATCGATATGGCAATTGATGAATGTGCATCATGAATGCACGCCACGGATGCAATACTCGTAAGAAAAGCACGCAAGATCGATCGCTCCGTGGGTGTTTCAAAGTCAACGCCAAGGCATGCATCCATCCACCGCCAGCCGCCACACGAGCCACTGTGCGGGATGCGCACGATCCGACATCCGAGATATCGATATTTCCGATATCATCAAATGTTATCGATATCCTTGTCCACAAAATGTTGTCGACAGATACCGATAACACTGCAAAACTTGTCGACAGATATGAATAACACCGTTATTGTTGTCGACAGATACCGATAACTACACGAAAGTTGTCGACAGATATTGATATTCCGATATCGCAAAAAAAAAAGTTGTCGACAGATACCGATATCTCCGATATATCGATATATCGGATATCGGAGATATCTCCGATATATCGATATATCGGATATCGGAGATATCTCCGATATATCGATATATCGGATATCGGAGATATCGATACGGTGCCTTGGTGATGAGTGGGAAGCCTCTTGCAGCGATTCTGGGGGTGCAATCCTTATCGCCGATGAACCTGAAACCTCTGATCCTCCTTTGCCTTTTATTTACTTTGGATTTCGGCGAGTTCTCGTGCACCCAGACCACAGCTATTCCACTTACGAGCTGGGATACGTTGCTTCATATGACCCTCCACTCATGGTTCGCAAGGGTGCCGAGCCCGGCATTTTGAGCTATCAAACGTAATAATACGGTCAATAGTTCTCATCGTGCACATATTTGGGGTTGTGTCTGCAAACTGACGGACGGTTAACATTCTGGCAATATCTCACGCCTTGCCTATATGTTCGAACCGTAACAATGATGTTCGTAATGAGGGTACCGAGCCCGACATTTTGAGCTATCAAACGTAATAATACGGCCAATTTTAAATCAAAATCTTAAATCAAAATTTCAAATCTTTCGATTTCGACCTTTGGTCGAAGGCCGGCCGAACATGCTTAGGGTGCATTTCCCTTCAATTTCCATCGCCACCCCGGCCGAAGGCCGGCCGTAGGATAAACGCGAACTGGCCGGCCCGGCCGAAGGCCGGCCGATGGGATTTTCATGTGTTGGCCGTACAACCTAAAATGTTGATATGTTCCCTGCTCCCACGTCGCAAAGCTGCTGCAATGGCGCGGAGAGCAAAAATCTCCGGGACCAATGGTTGCCAAGGCACCACCGAATGTGGCCTCCCCAGCTACAACAATCTCAAAAATAATCGGCGAAGAATCTGCCGAAGTTTCCGAGAATACCGACGCCTTCCGAAAATGCGCCCAGGCTTGAGACATAGAAGCGATACGAGAGAAAGTGCGCGAGCGGTTCAAAGTGTCTAGCTTCGAAATAAGCTTGGCATCAATGTTCACTACGCTGCGAGCTCCTCGCCCGAAAACATCTGTGTCGAATCCATAAAGACAAAAGAAAATGCGCGTATAAAGTCAACAACGAAAAATCGTAGGGCACCACCTTGTCGTAATTTCCCAAAGCCAAAGAGCGTTCCAAGCTCTAGCATGACTCCGACCTAGAACGTCTCACAAGGCGTGAGGACGTCAACACGAAAGATAGAGACCAACTATATAAAATTCCACGCTAACAATCACAACACGCAAGCGTGAGCGAGTCCCATACCTGTTGGAAACAGCTCCACAGGCAGAAAGGAACCGTTGCCGACGGGTAAACAACGGATCGAGCTAAACTCGGATAAACGGAATATGCACTGAGTCTAGTACACAAGTTGTACACCAAGAATGACTCAATGACTATGCCACCTGACTGTACGAACTAGTCAGTATGTCATTTCCAGCACCCGGACCAAACGACGAGACACCTCTAGAGGTGTCTCGCACTTTTGTCCTCATCATCGTTACCAAAATAAAATCCGGACGCGCAGAAACCAAAATCCTGAAAGTCGACCGATTTCTTCGTTGCGGCCGTTGCTTGAAATCGACGCGTGGCATTGAAATTTCGACGTGGCACATGTCATCGAGCAACTGAACAAGGACTCCATAGTGCATGGTTCAAAATGTCGATTTTGTTCCTCGTCAATGTTAAGAAATCCGGCGCGTTCGAGGGGTCGCGAGCCGTTTTGTCCTCGCGCGACCAGCTATGACACTATCGTGCACAGGAGGATCCCACAACGAGGATTTCATGATACAAGATAACAAATATTGTACGGTATTGAGCATGAGAATGCGGAGAATAGCATCATAGTAGACTGAATAAATGTTTAAACTTGTGGTAGACACTTGCGTGGTATTATGACCCTTGGATCAAGTGATTCGGTAGGAGAATATACCAAACCGGTATATCGTCATAACAACATCAGAAATGGATAATCATAACCGCTCTGAGTATGCTTTCGGAGTGAATTCTTAAACTGTATTGATAAGTGCGATAACTTATGATAAACCTAAAGCTAAACCCGAAACGGTCATCACCAGCTCCTGTACTACTACTGACTAGCCACTGTCTTAGTCTGAAGGACCATTCTGACCCAGTGGCCTGCCTGTCAGGGCTGCCTGCGTGGCCAGATCTCAACATCCAGTAACAAGGGTTCCGGCATTGCAAGTGGAGTTGCATAGTTGATCGTTTTAGCGCAAGTGCCCATGTCCCGCATGTGCGGTTGTAGGGTGATATTTGTCCGCGTTGTATCGCGGCCTCTTGAACACAACATTGTCCAACCATTGCGTGGGTAGTCATACACTAATACACCACTGGAAAGTGGTGGACTATAACGTAGCGGGATATCGTCTTGCCTACGAACAAGCTGTTGGAAGCACTAAGCACCGCTCGAGAATGGGCATAGCCACACGTCATATAACATCAGGGTGAATACTGCGTGACGGGCTGGCTATCTAAGCTCAACATACCTCGCCGCTAGGCAATCATACAATGTGACCGCACGTCGATGTCACATATGCTTACTTCCACGACTTATCATACAGTTCCGCAAATAGTAAGGGGTATTTTCACTGTTTGAGATGAGTCGAGCGTTATCCATCGCGGCAAAAATGTATCCGCAACGGGGCTCGAACCCATGAGCTCCCATTTAAATAACGGTCGTTCTATCCGCTGAGCTACGCGAAGTCACTGATGACGTCGGTGAACATCCAGAGATAATCGTACCATCTCTGATATGTCACAGATCGCGATTTCGCGCAGCTTCGATGCCACACCAACATCTGATGACCGCATCGACGATCTTTAACATATCTCCCACCTTTGAAAATTAGATCGTCACTTGACGATTCGTGTTCCAATTCTTGATCACAGTTCGGTCGGGATGTGATGACGTGGCAACTTAGAGCTTACTATGAATACCAATGATACAATTCCGTAACGTAGTAAGGGGGATTATCACTGTTTGAGATGGGTCGAGCGTTATCTATTGCGTCGAAAATGTATCCGCGCGACGGGACTCGAACCCATCGTGACCTCCCGTTTAGATCACGGTCGCTCTATCCACTGAGCTACGCGAAGTCATTCATGACCTCGGTGAGCATCCAGGGATACTCGCACAATGTCTGATATGACACAAATCGCGATTTCGCGCGGCTTCTGTGATGACGTACCAACATTTGATGATTGATGCAGCGACGATCTCTAACAACTTAGACTTGTTGAAAGTACCGAAATTTTCATTGGGCCGTTTGAAGCATGCCCACTATTCATGATCACGCACTTTTATTACTTGACCTTTTGGATGAATTTGAATCGATATATTCGATGTGCCCACATGTTAGAACCCGGTAGGTAGATACGACGGGCTCTGCGGTCTCATGCCCAGCAGTCAGTCTTGTCACCTATACTGCCGATCTATATGCTGCCTCGTGTAATTCCTGAAACCTAAAACCCGAACACAACTTATATCTCATAACTAGAGTGCCGTGGTTTGATCTTTTAACTTAACTTATTGCGAGTTTCCGAAAACGTTAACCTTTTTCGATACCGTTACGGATATCTAACACCACATGCCCATTAAACGATTTCAAAACCCCAATCAGGGACTTTATGGCTAATTTTCGCGATTTCCCAAGTCCTTCGCGAGTTTGAATGTAACATATATTATATACATATAGGGATAAGTCTAGATTGGGTGTAGACATTTCATGATAATTCAGATTGGGTGTAGGCACTTCATTTTAATCTAGATTGGGTGTAGGCACTTCATTTTAATCTAGATTGGGTGTAGACACTTCATTTTAATCCATTGGGTGTAGACATTTCATTTAATCCAGATTGGGTGTAGGCACTTCATTTTAATCTAGATTGGGTGTAGGCACTTCATTTTAATGTGCCATTGGGTGTAGACGCAGGTATAGGGGGTACGGGTCGCAATTTCTTTTGTTATTTGTTGCACAAAAAAACATTATTTCGCGAATTCAACCGGTAGATATCAATATCCGACCACAATGAACATATCTAATGGTTGAATTTGCGAAATAATGTTTTTGCATGCGATTACTAGCGAAAAACTGTTCGAAATCGATGTTTGTTGTTATTTGTTGCAAAACAAAACATCATTTCGCAAATTCAACCGGTAGATATCGACATCTAACCACCATGAACATATCTGACGGTTGAAATTGTAAAACAATGTTTTTGTATGCGGTGACTAGCAAAACATTGTTCGTAATCGATGGTTTTTGTTGTTTGATTAAAAAAACATTATTTCGCAAATCCAACAGGTAGATATGTTCATTGTGGTCAGATGTTGATATCTGACGGTCGAATTTACATAATGATGTTCACATGCAATATTATCAATGTAAAATGTAATGCCCTCCAGGCATCAAGGTATGTTAAAATGAACCTGTTGCAACCAGCCAGGAATACTTCTAGGAACGAGGATGCTCTTTTTTGGTATGTCGCTCTGATCCGGAAAGTCGAGAGAAGTTGCGATACGATGTGCGAAATCAGACCCGGTGGTTTCGGCTCGCCATCTCCGTCTAATTGAGTCGCAGTGGACGTCGTCATGCGATATTCTTTCTTTGAGTTAGAAGGGTATCCATACATTGTGCAGCTTGTAGGTATCTTCCTTTAGGTTCACGGGCGGTGTTGTGGCCTTCAAGGCCCATCCTCGAGTAAAGTATGTACATACTTGCCCGTAATCATCGTATCATTGAACGATTATAACAATCATTGGTAATCATGCGTAATTATTGGTACTTAATGATAATCTTTGGCACTTTGGTAATTTTTGAAATTTGCGAATTATCTCGCGGCAATTGTATCCTATACTTTACTCCATCACGCCCCAGAAACATCAACCTATCATAAATGGTTGAAACATAGTTAAAATAGATCTAGATCGCATATACATCGCTTACGAAGTCCTTATGCTCAACATCCAAGTGATTGCACACTTTGAAGAATATTACTCCATTTCCAACTTCAGCTCGCGGCTAACTTAAGTCTCGCCTGTGCCAAACATGATGGCTTCACTCTTCGCTGTTGGCAATGCACTGCTGACTTACAAATCATATGTATGCTATGCCATCACTCGCATCCGACGACTGTATTAATTTGGCCAAAGTAAAATTAAAGGCTGTGTTGTAACAGAAAAATAGCACGTGTCATAGGCTAGGGTGCAAGATCTGCGAATACAACCCACGACTCAAACCACCTGCTTATCTGCGATGGGTAGTGCATGATTTTTCGTTTTAGTTTGCTTGTTCTTCCACAAAAATAAGACGTCTGCGAGAATGAAGAAGCCAATGCCCAACACGTAGTTGATGTGGAATGGTTTTGGCAACAAAAAAAATGAGAGCAACACAGTCAAGGTCTTTCTTGCAGTCCCCACTGCGGTGGCCGGAGTGATGCCAAACATTTTTACGAGATGTGTATATGCTAGAGCGCCGGAATAAAAGGTAAGACTACGGAGAATAAGCAGTGTCATAGCGTTGGGAATCTCGTTGAAGTACTTCCAAGAGAGATCCGCCTCACCTGTGTAGAGTAGGACGCAAAACACAACTGCGACGCCCATAGTGTTTGAATAAAACATGCTTTCGGATACAGTGGCATCACTGTCCCGCAGTATGGTGTCCTGCAAGTTGCCTTGTAGCGAGTTGAAAGCCATGTATATGGCTGACAGCACAAAACCAAGTGAATTGAAGGCCGGCTCGACAGCCTGTTCGCCGACAGCCATTAGAATTGCACTCATAACTAGCAGAACGGCCGCCATCCAGTCTAGGGATGTATACGACCGTCGCAGCCATACAACGTTGACCAACATAGTTGGAACGAGCTTGGAAGACCTCACCATGGTGCCGGTGGCGTAGTTTAGGTACCTAGTGTGAGTGTGCATAATTGACACGTGTCAGACACATCAACAACGGAAAAGGCTTTGTGGTACTTGGCAGTCCTTTGTTCTCGGGAATACTCTCACAGATGATACGCATGTTCGCAGTATGCGAAACACTTGGGGGAAATCCAGATGAAGGCTGATTACGCTCGCCAGAAACGAAGGCAAGCTTCTGGTGTGCTCACCGGTCACGGATGGCCGTTTGGTGGACATTCAGCAACGTTCGAGGTTGGGCTTGGGTAGTTCCAACATAAATACAGACGGCAGAAGAACAAGCATTGACATCTTCCTTCCCAGATAACGATCTGGTTGCGCAAACAGTGTGAGCGCGCGCGAAGCAAGGTACGCTGGCTGTTGTTCGAAACGACTCACGCGCGACTCCCTCTCCTGGCTTAAGTTTTAGGATGAAGACTCACTTGAAGGCCAACTTGCCTATGCTCTGTGACACTGCAAGGCAGATCGCCACACCCGCATATTGGAGGAGAGAAGCTTTGAGTGGCGCGAAGGCGATTCCGCGGCATCTGCCAGCTAACGGCACACTCAGCACTAGTCGACTGCACTCTATACGTAATACCAAATCAACTCATCAAGGATGCGGCAGGTTGCCAAGCTCGATTTCGTGTGAAAGTTGCCCATCTTTCATTCAGTAGTAGATACCTGAGTGCATGCCGGCAAAGATATAATATGACCTAGTACAAGCTGGAGGAAATCCTTACCCTCGCTCAAACCCCGATGCGACGCTGAACACCAGGAGCTCAATAAAAGCCACGGTCCAGTAAAAGTCGAATCTGCAATTCAGAGCGTGCCAAAAATCTTAAGTTCTCATATTTGGGAGAATGCGGAGTGTTTGAGTTCAAGTCTCGTATACGATACGCATGTCAGGACTATCGCGGGGTCGGAAGAGATCGCATGCCAGTTCTATCGTCAGAGTGAAAACGACAAATGTTATACCCAGGTAAGCGTTTAAAGATTATCTCTTCGAGAACATTCGACGAGGATACGAGGATGATGAACGTGGCAGATACTACGAGAAATTTCAGCGACCTCGCTTCGCGAAAGAGCTCAATAAAGATTTTCATGCTGCAAGGCCTGGAGATGTCTCAACACAAGTCCAGTGAGCGGAGCCAAGGCACAGCCTTGCGCATATCAACTACCCTTATCTAGTCATGCACACTGGGAGTGCACGACTAACAGGCGTGTTGAGAATATGCAGTGCAAATATTTCCTCAGGTCCAAATTCCTTCCTCAAGTTGTGCCGACGACGTTTCAACAGTCAAGCACAGCCCGTTAAAACCTGGCTTACGTCAGAATATAGAGGCCGACCGGTTCTGAATATGTGTGATCTGCAGTTAGCCTTAACAGACTATATAGGAAAAAGGTGGACACCGAACCGGATTAAGAGAAAGGATAGGAGAAGAGTCATGGGGACTCACAAAGCCCCACACCCCGAAAAAGGGTGTCTCTTTTTTTTTTCTTTTTTTCTTTTTTTTTTGTGATCTTCTCATGTCGATGTGTGTGGCCTTCAATATTTTTATGCATATTGAAATCACAAAGTACAAACATGAAACATCAAATTACAGGCAGCCTGTTCTTTTGAGGTTTCGATGTTCGTTTGTTTGCGATTTTGGGAGGTACTCGCGGTGCGGTGCCATTAATGTAAGATGATAGAAAATTGCTGTAATTACAAATGGTCATCACTTGTGATGGGAGTTATGATGGAAGTTTGAATTATCCCCTTTATTGTATCTATCGGTATGCTTATCCCTTTCGTTTGTCAGTCGACTGCAGCACTCGACTGCACTCGACTGATGATCGTGATGCTCGAGTTGATGAGGCGTTGATATTATAATTATTGACGTAAGAACTCGAACCAAGCTTCAAGCGAAGGGAAGGCACACATCAAATGGAAGCGCTTTTCCGTCAAATAGTAGTAGACATTTTACGATTCGGGGTCCTCCACTCGTGAAGTTAGTGACTGTTCTCACTGTCTGCTTGCTTTGGAGCAATGTCGAAGTCACCAACGTCGCCCTTCAAGCATGCTTTGTGGCGCTCGCCAAACATTAGAGTCCCTCGTACACCCTTCACCGACAACTTGTTACTCCGGCGTAAAGCGAAGCTAATCAGACGAGATATCCCTCACCAAGGCGTGATTAATCCGAAAGCAGCTGAAGATGTG